TATATAATAACATATAACTTCCAAGAATTATCTAATTAAAATTTTGAGTAGTTTTCCAAACCAAATTTCTGCTTATGAAAGATAAAGGCTACTTCATTGACTATACCCTGATCAACCTATACCTCAGGGTAAGGGCAAGTAGGCCCCTCAAAGCAGGATTTATCTCTACTATCCAAGATCTACCTTTCCCCCAGGAGCGAGTCCCCCTGTCCAGATAGATGCTTCTGTCATGCTTAATATCCAGGTCTATGCTCTTACACTTCTTCAGATAAGCACTTTGCAAGAGAAACAGATTGTGTTTTCAAATTTTGCTTCTGCTTTCTGTAAATTTTTATCCCCAAGTAAAACAAATGACTGGCAAAGATGTTCCCACAAAAGGAAGGCTGTTATCCCTGGTGCCACGCTGTTCTGATAATGAGCAGGCGAAAAGCAAAGAACCATGATTATTTCTCTGTTGAGAAATAATCTCCTGCCATTAACCAAGCAGCCAGTTAGGATGCCATGAGCTCAGAGCTGGCTCCACATGCTGACTGATGTTTCTCTCCTTCTCTCAACCAGTTAGAGCTGAAACCTCAAGGCCGAATGCTAATGAATGCAAGATACTTTCTGGAAATGAGTGGCAAGTGACGTTTCTTCTTCCTGTTTGGGGGTGAGGAGGGCCTGGCCTTTTGTTCAGATGCAACTGCTTTTGCTTCTGCAATGACCCTAGAAAGAATGAGTGAGGGGAAATGCAAGGAATTGTGTTAAAATTCTCAATGGTGTGGAGGCATGAATTGAAAAGAACTGTCTATGCTCAATAAGCATAGAACTAATATGAATACAAATACGAACACATGAAATAATATAAATGTAAATATAAAACATTCATAGCACTGATTTTTAAATTGTGTAAAGTCTCTATAAGAATATGAGAATTTAATGTAAATACAAAAGACCGTTCCTATGTTGCTGTATATGTACACATCGCCTATTTGTAAATAATGCTCTATAACCAGCATTTTGCTATCCTAGAACACAAAATAAGAAACTAAATATTTTTCTTAAAACTAGTGGCAAGATTCTAAGGCTTAAAGTTAGTCATCTCATGTCTTTTTAGGAAGAAGCAAGAGTAGGGAAAGGCGTTGCTAAAGAATTTCAGTTCCATGTCCTTCATAAACTTGGGCCACAGAAGTTACACTCACAAGCACCATGAACTGGGTGCCTGTGACCACCTGCTCTACTGTTTCCATGAACCAAAGGCTACTGTTCGTAAAATCCTAAGCCACAGATTGAACATGTGACCTAAAGATAATAAACTGCTCTTAACATATTTTTAGTTCAGGTTCAATGTTGTTTATCCAAAATGCTTATGACCAGAAGGGTTTCAGATTTTGGATTGCTTCAGATTGGGAGTTGTTCAAATCTTGTTGATGAAATGCCTTGGGATCTGAACTCAGCCCTAAATGGAAAATTCTTTTATGTTTCATATGTATGTTGCAAACCTTTCTGAAGATAACTTTATATAATATCCTTCTATTTTTGTGCATGAACCAGTGTTTCATGGTATAGAATTTTTTAGGTCTTATATCTTACTTGTGCTCAAAAATGTTCAGCATTTTGGATTTTAGTTTTTGGATTACGCATGTTCAACCTGTATCAACCAGAAGTAAGTTTTAGTTCAGAGATGTTTTTCTTTGACATGTATAAATCTTATATGCCCCGATTCAAACAAGGCTATGACATAATCAAGGAAAACTTGAACACTTACCAGGTATTTGGTAATACTGAGACATAGTTATTAGTTATTTTAGGGCTGACTATAAGGTAACTACGTGTTTTACATTTCTCAGTGCTGTGACAAAATGCCTGACAAAAGCAACTTAAAGAAGGGTTTGTTTAGGCTCAAAATTGAGGTGATCTTGCCCATCATGGTGGGAAAATGACAGAAGCAGAAAGTAAGGCAGGAGGGCGAACTGTCTTCAGTCAGGAAGCAGAGAGGAGATGAATACTGGTGTTCAGGTCACTTGCTTTTCCTTCTCATTTTATTCAGTCTGAGATCCAAGTCCATGGGATGGTGCAGTCCACATTCAGGGTGGGCTTCCCTCCTCAGTAAAACGTCTCCACAGATGCCCCACAGGCATTCCCAGAGGTGTCCTCTGAGGTAACTCTAAGTCTAGTAGGATTGACAGTGAAGATTAGCCATCACAAATCCATCCCTTTCCAACTTGACACCCAAATGCATCCCTTTAATCCTTAACATTCCACTCCTGACCTCCGAAAGGTCCATGGCCATCTCCTAATGCATTCCATTCATCTCCAAGAGCCCCCTAAGTGTTAATAGTTAGTAAGTTCTAACATTGCTCCAAATCCCAAAGTCCAAAACCTCTTCTGAGATGACCCCCCAGCATTATTCTTTTTCCCAAGATTGTGTCTTTTACGATTCCATATGAATTTTAGGATGATTTTTTTCAGGCTCTGCGAAGAATGTCATGGATGTTTTGATTGACTTTGCATAGAATACATAAATTGCTTTTAGTAAGATGGTCATTTTCACAATATTGATTCTATCAATCCATGATCATGGTGGGTCTTTCCATCTCCTAGTATCTTCCTTTATCTCTTTCTTTAGAGATTTGAAATTTTCACGTATAGATCTTTAATGTCTTTGATTAGGTTTATTCCTAAATATTTTTTGGAAGCTGTTGTGGATGAGAGGCTTTCCTTGAATGCTTTTTCTGATTGCTTGTTATCAGTATATAGAAAGGCTATTGATTTTTGTAGTTTGGTTTTGTAACCTGCCACTTTACTGAAAGTATTAATTATTTTGAACAGTTTTCAGGTAGAATTTTTGGGATCATGTCATGATATGTATATCATATCATGTGCAAAAAGGGATAACTTGATCTCTTCTTTTCTAATTATTACTCCTTTAACTTTCTTTTCTTGTCTTATTGCTCTTGCAAGAGTTTCAAGCACTGTATTGAAAAGGAGTGGAGATAGTGGGCAGCCCTGTCTGGTTCCTGATTTTAGTGGGAATGCTTCCAGTTTTTCTCCATTTAGGATGATGTTGGCTATGGGTCTGTTGTATATAGCTTTAACTATGTTGAGGTATGTTCCCTCGAGACCAAGTCCTTCTAGGACTTTTAACATGAATGCATGTTGGATTTTGTCAAAGGCCTTTTCTGCATCTATTGAGTTGATCATGTGGTTTTTCTCTTTTTAAGTCCATTTCTATGTTTTATTTATTGACTTACATATATTGAACGCATCTCTGGAATAAAGCAGACTTGATTGTGGTGGATGATATTTTTGATGTGTGTCTGTATGCGGTTTGTATTTTGTTGAGTGTCTTTGCATCTATGTTCATTAAGGATATTGATCTGTAGTTTCCTCTTTTGTTGTGTCTTTACCTGGTTTTGGTGTTAGAGTGACACGGGCTTCATAGAAGGAGTTTGGGAGTTCCCCCTCTGTTTCTATCTTTTTGAATAATTTAAACAGTATTAGTTGCAGATCTTTTTTGAATGTCTGGTAGAATTCTGTTGTAAATCCATTCCCTTGATTCTTAAACCTCAAGAGTTTGGATTATATCTTGACCAGTCTGCTAAAATGGTTTCTTTGAGATTTTTGAAACTTCTGATCAAGTTCCTATTTCTTGGCTTCAATCCCTTTGATATCTGTCAGTGCCAAAAGCAACATTTTTTAACTTTTTTTTTCTTTTTTTTGGCTGATTTGACAGTTACTGATTTTTACCCTTAATTTGTCAGACATCTGTACTGGTCTCTATCAATGCATCCTAGGTCCTCAAAACTGTCACTGAGTCCGTTCTTTCCCATCACAGCCTGTCTCTCAGAACTAGCCGCACTGTTCTTCGTGTGTTCTCCATCTCCCTGACTCCACTGTAGCCACTCAAGGGTTAAGAATAACGTCTCAGATTTCTGCAAAACAGTCACCACAAAAATTTCTTCAGAGATGCTCTAAAAACATCAGTGTTAGGTTGACTGAAAACAAGTGATCGTTCCAACTAAATGTTAAAAAATTGGAGCCATTTGCACAAAAGAAAATGGCCAAACAAGTCATTTCAGAAATAAAATACCAAAGGAATTAGTAAGTCTGTGTTCTCACATAAGAATTCTCTTATAATGATAGAAACGAGGATGAAGGAAACCACAGGAAAGACCAAGGAAATTTACTCATTTCTGGAATTTTCTGATTTTTTAAAGTATTCTAATGCATAGACAGTTATACACATGGATATGGATGAAATAAACACAGATGGATATATGTATTTATAATAATAAGGTTCCAGAATACTCACTCTCATTTCAGAGTTCATTCTACTTTATGGTATCTGAACCAAGAGAGAAATGAGTCAGATTTTACTTAGAAATGACTTTCACATGAGTTACAACTTAAAGGTTTATCTGTAATTGTTATTTCATAAGTTAAGAAAGAAGATGATTAACCCTATTTCCATTCTAATTCCAAATAAAATAATCTGATGGATTAGCCTGAAAGTAGCAGGTCAAGTCCTGTGGCCCACCTGAGGAACTGTGGAGAAGGGTTGTGAATTCCATATCCCTGAGGGTGTAGGTTGCTGTAAAATAGATGCATGACATGGATGACTCTAAATAAAAGATGTGAGTCCTAAATACTATGTTGGGACTCCTGAGGTCCTGGGGAAGAGGGTTCCACATGCACAAAGTCCTCCTATTTGTCCAGCTAATGTGTTCTGCCAGCCACTATGGGCAAGGAAAGCACAAGGTCCCTTGGCAGAGGCCCCTACTTCAAGTACATGGTTACACCTCTCCTGCTGAGCCAAAATGGAAGCAATTTAGTTTCAGATTGTTCATTCTTTTTCACACACACACACACACACACACACACACACACACACACACACACACACACACACACACACACACACACACACACACACACACACACACACACACACACACACACACACACACACACACACACACACACACACACACACACACACACACACACACACACACACACACACACACACACACACACACACACACACACACACACACACACACACACACACACACACACACACACACACACACACACACTCATCCCAGATAGGGAACTCAGGATAAACCAAAGTAACACATCAAAGTCCAAATTAGTAAGCCACTTGGTTTATTGGGGTTAGGTACAAGAGTAGGAATGAAGGGTTACACAGGAGCAAATATGACTCAGGTAACTGCATCACCACAAAAGCCATCCCAGCATGGGTGACAGCTCATCAAAGCTGAAACCCCAGAGCTCTCTGCAGTACTTGCAGGAGCCCCCTCCAGGCATTCTGCTGGTCAGTCCCCCCACCTTAGCAGCTGTCTACTGCTTCCATGACCTTGGGGAGGGGTTTTCCTAAATCTTGGAAGTTTCAGCTTTCCCTGACATATGAAATTTGTTTACTTCTGGGTCTCATGAGCCTCCCCCTTCCTTCTTGGAGGGTATGTTTCAATTTGGAGGAAACTGTTATATGCCATCACCTCATTTCCCCTCACCTGCTGGGGTGCTACTTAAGTACCTAACCGTTTGTGTTCTTTGGGGTCCTAAGCATCAGCCCAGACATCATGGACATTCTCAGAACTCTACCACCTTAGATTTCTTCAGCCCTTTGGGAAATGTCATCTGAGCATAGGATGCTATGAACAATGACATGAGCCCAGGGTTGATTGAATGTTTGTAAATATAATGGTTTAATGCAAATGACTAGGAAAAGCAATACACAGGATTATAGACATTGAAAACATCATTGTGAACTGTTGATTTTCTGACACTTTCTACCTTGGACAATAGAGGCAATGGTTGGGTGTCTGGTCACTGTGGCCATCAGGAAGTAGAACACACAGCTTCCTCACACAAAGGACTAGACAGCTTCCATCAGTCTTTTTGGTACCTTGTCTAAACACAAAACTCAGGGCAAAGCACCTTAGTTATGTCCCTCTCATATTGCTAACCATCAGCACATTATTCTCCAGAATTACAGACTTAAAATGCTGAATTTCTAGTTTTACCGGAAGCAATTTAGTTTCAGATTGTTCATTCTTTTTTATTTTTGAGCTATGAGTGGGCACATATTTTAAATTTCAGTTTTTACAAGCATAAAAAGAAACAGCAAGTGATCCTGCTATCTCTAACCTATTACAAATGATGAGTCTAAGCATTATGGTCATTAACTTTATTATCCTTATTTTAGTGTTGAATCATAATTTTGGTTATTTCTTTACAGTTTACCATGTGTTCTATGAGACTTTTCCTGAGCACACACTCAACATGCGCACACACACACACACACACACACACACACACACACACACTCCAGAATTACAGACTTAAAATGCTGAATTTCTAGTTTTACAAACTAAAGACTAGCTCATCTCAGAGAAGTAAAAGATGAAAGCAATAATCCAACTTTGTTACAATTCTATAGTAATACCTATAGGGTAATTCCATACTACAGAATTAAGGAAAGAAGCCTAGTATCATTCCCACAAGCCCTTGGGATGCTAGTGTAGATATTCACTGCTTATCACCTGTGTTCATCACTGAGTCCCCACCCTCCCGACTCAGCTGTGACCATCATATTACAAAGCCTCCTGTGCCCCTGTTCTCTCTCCAGACACAAAGGACATGAGTGAATTTGAGAATGAAGGATTCTTTGCCTTGCATCACCGCCGAGGAGCCATTAAACAGACCAAAGTCCACCATGTCAAATGCCATGAGCTCACAGCCACCTTCTTCCCTCAACCCACATTTTGCTCTGTCTGCCATGAATTTGTCTGGTACAGTAACTTGACTTTTTCCTTGAGCTTTGAGTTATGCATTTTGTCATATCTTCTTTACTGCCAAGCACAGAGTGCTCTACTGTGGGAGTGAAGGGTGTGTGTATGTGTGTGTAATAAGTAGTATGAAAGGGTACTTAGTGGCCTCACCAGCACTGAGAAGCCCTTAGAGTCTGATTCAACACAAGGTTTTTATAACACGGCTCCAGAAAAATGAGAACCACTCCAGGAGAGTCCTGTGTTAGTCAGCTTCCCATCACTGTGACAAAATACCCGAGACAATCAACTTAAAGGAAGAAAGGTTTGTTTGGGGTCACAGTTTCAGAGGTTTCAGTCCATAGATGCCTAGTCCTATTGTTTTAGACCTACAGTACAGCAAAGCATTGTGGGAGAGCAGAACTGCTCACCACTAAGGCATCCAGGAAGCAAGAGAGAATGCACCAGGCTAAGGGTATACTCCAGGTAACCTTACTTCCTTCTACCACCTAAAGTTTCTACGTACCTCCACTAGTCGCACTGACTGGTTACTAAGCTTTCAGCACGTGGCCTCTGGGGGCCATTTCAGATTTAAACCCCAAGGCCCAAAGGACTTTCCTATCTGACTAAATTAGAGGTTGCTGGGGTAAGACGGACAGAACAGAAGATGGTGCGCCATTATTGTAAGCACAGTTGTATAATTTGACACCCCAAAACCCAATCACTCTGTCGATATACTTTGTAACAGACAGCCCTATCCCATTGTTTAAATGAAGCCCTTGGGTGTCCTCGTCTCAGAGGTCAGCTTAACCACACAGCAAAAGCTATGGTAGAGTGGAGATTGAAATGGCACCTGTTTCTGCTTTCAACCTCCGTGCCTGCTAATAGATGCTGTTCCCCTTGGGTGCTTGCAGAATCTTTAATGCACAAGTCCCACTTCATAGTGTAGCCACAGGTCAATAGATTTGGGTGGGTTTCTTTAACCTGTTTTCCTCTTATTACTCGAATTTATAATCAACAGTGCTGCTCAGGAATCCACCTTGATGTTGAGCTTTATTGATTGAAAATATTCTCAGGCCCTCAAAAAGAGGAAATAAGATGCTTGACCAATGTCTAGAATGAGTGACGTGGTGCATTTCTAAAGAGGTGATGGCTTGAGTGCAGAAATATGCTGCTAGGAGCCTGTGATGCTATTCAGAGAATAAGCTCTGTGGCCTAAAGAATCCGGGGGATCTCATTCACCTCTAAAATGTTTCTGTTCTAATGTTGATTTGGATATCCAGTTAAATCAGCCATTGCTCTGTTACAGGGGGCTGAACAAACAGGGCTACCAGTGTCAACATAAGTAAAAAGCATTTCTGCTGTATCCTTGGTATTCTATTGATTTAATTGCTCCTTGACAACCAAAAATTATATTGTCATTATTTCTTTCCAGAATGTAATGCAGAGATTCACAAGAAGTGTAGTGGCAAAGTGATAGCCAAGTGCACAAGATCAGCTGTCAACAGCAGGGAGACTATGGTATGAGTTTCTTTCCGTCCTGTTTCTTTGATGCTTTCAATTTCTAGAAAATCAAATCTTCAATCTCCCTCTTAGCTTCAATGACTAATAAAACCCCTGGTGACAATGAGCTATCCAGAAGCAGAGAGTTAAATGAACATGAATTCTGAAGGGTAAACTGCATTCTCTGGGGAGATCTTGATTTCTTGTTCATTGAAGTGGGGTTCTCTGGTACCTCTAAACCTGAAGCAATATTGTCCAATAGAAACAGAACATGAGCCACATGTGTAATTTAACCTTTCAAGAGGCCACAGTAAAAGAGAAGGAAACAGGAAGGGTGTGGTGCTGTAGGCCTGGGATCCTAGCTGCAAAGGCAGGAGGATCACAAGTTCGAGTCCTGTTTCGACTACTAAGTGAGTTCAAGGCCAACTTGGGAAACTCTGTTAGACTCTGTCTCAAAACAAAAAATCTAAAACAGGTTGGGGATATTGCTTAGCGGTAAAGCTTGTAGAGAAGCTACTTTACATGATTTTTTCTTACCAAGTCTTCACATTCTAATGTATATTTTTTCTATTTTTTTTATCTTCTTTTGTGTATGAGTGTTTTGTCTGCATGTAAGTATACCCTGCACCTGTTTCTGCTTTCAACCTCCGTGCCCGCTAATAGATGCTGTTCCCCTTGGGTGCTTGCAGAATGTTTAATGCACAAGTCCCACTTCATAGTGTAGCCATAGGTCAATAGATTTGGGTGGGTTTCTTTAACCTGTTTTCCTCTTATTACTCAAATTTATAATCAACAGTGCTGCTCAGGAATCTACCTTGATGTTGAGCTTTATTGATTGAAAATATTCTCAGACCCTCAAAAAGAGGAAATAAGACGCTTGACCAATGTCTAGAGTGAGTGACGTGGTGCATTTCTTAAGAGGTGACGGCTTGAGTGCAGAAATATGCTGCTAGGAGCCTGTGATGCTTTCTCATCCGGCATTATAATTACAATTACTCGCAACTGTGAAAATAAGGAAATTAATCTATTTATTATAAAAATATAAGCAAAGTAACAATATTAAAATACTCTCTTGGTAAATGATACACCCAATTACTATTCAGAGAATAAGCTCTGTGGCCTAAAGAATCCGTGAGATCTCATTCACCTCTGAAATGTTTCTGTTCTAATGTTGATGTGGATATCCAGTTAAATCAGCCATTGCTCTGTTACAGGGGGCTGAACAAACAGGGCTACCAGTGTCGACGTAAGTAAAAAGCATTTCTGCTGTATCCTTGGTATTCTATTGATTTAATTGCTCCTTGACAACCAAAAATTATATTGTCATTATTTCTTTCCAGAATGTAATGCAGAGATTCACAAGAAGTGTAGTGGCAAAGTGATAGCCAAGTGCACAAGATCAGCTGTCAACAGCAGGGAGACTATGGTATGAGTTTCTTTCCGTCCTGTTTCTTTGATGCTTTCAATTTCTAGAAAATCAAATCTTCAATCTCCCTCTTAGCTTCAATGACTAATAAAACCCCTGGTGACAATGAGCTATCCAGAAGCAGAGAGTTAAATGAACATGAATTCTGAAGGGTAAACTGCATTCTCTGGGGAGATCTTGATTTCTTGTTCATTGAAGTGGGGTTCTCTGGTACCTCTAAACCTGAAGCAATATTGTCCAATAAAAACAGAACATGAGCCACGTGTGTAATTTAACCTTTCAAGAGGCCACAGTAAAGGAGAAGGAAACAGGCAGGGTATGGTGCTGTAGGCCTAGGATCCTAGCTGCAAAGGCAGGAGGATCACAAGTTCAAGTCCTGTTTCAAATACTAAGTGAGTTCAAGGCCAACCTGGGAAACTCAGTTGGACTCTGTCTCAAAACAAAAAATCTAAAACAGGTTGGGGATATTGCTTAGCGATAAAGCTTGTAGAGAAGCAACTTTACATGGTTTTTCCTTACCAAGTCTTCACATTCTAATGTATATTTTTTTCTATTTATTTTTATCTTCTTTTGTGTATGAGTGTTTTGTCTGCATGTAAGTATACCCTGGTGTGCAATACCTATGGAGGCCAGAAGAGAGCATCAGATTCCCTGGAACTGAAGTTATAGACAGTTATTAGCTGCCATGTGGGTGCTGGGAATCGAACCTGGGTCCTCTGCAAGAGCAGTCAGTGCTCTTATCCACTAAACCATCTCTCCCGCCCCTAGTGTGTATATTAAATATTTTTTGTTATTTTTATTTATGTGTATGTGTGTGTATGGGTTTGTGCACATGAGAGCAGGTGCCCTTCGAGGCCAGAGGTCAGATCCCCTAGAGCTGGAGTTGCAGGTGGTAGAACTGAATTCAGGTCCTTTACAAGAGCAGCCAACACTTAACCATCGAGCCTCCCAATGTGTCATTTGCACATGCTTTTCAATTCCAGCCACCACCTTAGAGGTGTTCACTAATCCCATGGGGTTACTTAGCTTTCCTATGGAAAGGCCAGATCAAGAATCTTCAGCTGTCATCTCTTGAGTTCATTGGGCCTCCTTCAACATTGAAATGACCCTGGATCTTCACCTTCTAATTGTTCGTATTGGCATTATGTCATACCAAATAAGTTCTAAGATAAATTGATTGAAAATGGTTACAGTAGATCCTGAGGCAAATTTTTATTTTCTTTTGTTTTGCTTTTGTAATAGTGTCATGTAGCCCAGGCTGGCCTTGAACTCACAGCATGGCCAAGAATGAACTTAAACTCCTGATTCTTCTACTCCCACCTCTCAAGTGCTAAGATTACAGGCATAGATAACTGTGCCTGGGTCTGTGTGGAGCTAGGGATCAAACCAGAGTTTCATGCATAGTAGGCAAGCACTCTACCAACTGAGATACATCCCAGCCCCTGAATGGTTTTAAAACAGTCGTTCTAAAGTGCCAGTCCTGACCAGTATCAGCAGCAGAAACACTAGACCTATCACCATCTAGCAAAGAAGGCTTTTTTTAGTGTGCGCGTTCTAAAATCATTTACTTAGAAACTCCTGAAAAAAACCATGAATTTTCTTTAGTTTTGTTTTTATTTTTGTTTTGTTTTTTAGATGAAGTCTTACTACCTAGCCCAGACTAGCCTCAAACTCAAGATCCTCCTTGCCTCAGCCTCCCACGTGGTAAGATTACAGATGTGTTGCCATGTTCAGCCACTAATAAGTAGACAGAATGTTTCATACTGCACAAAATACACGTATTCTTACCAGAAATCAAATGGTCCATTTTGTGGTTCTTTTTGTTCATACAATGAATTTGATTAAAGGCGAGAATTTAAACTCTAGAAAACATTTTTAAAATCCTGGAAATACGGGGCTGGAGAGATGGCTCAGTGGTTAAGAGCACTGACTGCTCTTGCAGAGGGCCCAGGTTCGATTCCCAGCACCCACGTGGCAGCTAGCCACTGTCCATAACTCCAGTTCCAGGGGAATCCAAAGCCCTCTTCTGACCTCCACAGCTTTGCACAACACGGGTGCAGGCAATACACTTGTACACATAAAATAAAAATACTAAATAAAATACTTTTTTTCTTTCTTGTCTTTTTGAGACAGGGTCTCCCTATAGCCCCAGCTGTCCTGGAACTCACTATGTAGACCAGGCTGGCCTCGAACTCACAAAGATCTGCCTGCCTTTTTAAAAATCATGGAGACATATCTAAATTTATCTCTCCTTTCCTCCTATCCTGTTGTCACATTTATTGCGAGACATCTCAAATAGAATAGATAGGCTTTGATCTGTCTGTCAAGCTCACAGTTATCCTGGTTCAATAGTTCTATGAGCTGGGTAAGATTCTTGCCTACCCTGTGCCCAATCCACTCACAAACTAAATGAGTAATAGAGACTACTTTATTTTGTGGATGTATTAAATGAGATACCGCAAGTGTACAAGGTCAGATGTGACATATTTGTCCACTTCACCTGACAGGAACTGGGACCACCCCTGTTTACTTCATGAGTAGGTATGATCTTGCTTCCATTGTGGGCTTTCGGGCTAATAAACCCATAGCAATGCTTCCTTGAGGAGGAGGCATTTTTAACAACCTTTAGAGATTAAGCACTAACTCTAGGCTAAAGAAGGAAGGAAAGCCTTACATCAAAATAGGAAGGGTGGTTTCATTTGTTGAAATGGAAGCAGTGTTACCTTAGCTCCCATTTGAATAAATGATCCCTATCCCCTCTTCCTGATATGGTCACCCAGCTGTGCTGATGCTTCAGACATCCACCATGGGTCCCCTGGTGCTTGGCACATGCAGATGATGCATGTGCCTCATCTACAAGAGCCACAGGCTTCTTCAGACACCACAGGAAGTTGGCAGGCAGTATGATGGTTAAAGGGCTCATGGCACACATACTTTTGTTACTATCACTGTGAGTTATGCAAAGCATCTGGGATGCCACCAGATGTTGTGATCCAGGGGCACCCATGTATAGCCAGGTCCTCTGTCTTTCAGTTCCACAAGGAGAGGTTCAAGATTGATATGCCACACAGATTCAAAGTCTATAACTACAAGAGCCTGACCTTCTGTGAGCACTGCGGGACCCTGCTGTGGGGACTGGCAAGGCAAGGACTCAAGTGTGATGGTGAGTGTGAAGCGGGTTAGGATGGGTCCTAGGCAGAGCCCCGAGTTTGCCTGTACATATGAAGGGTAACAGGAAGGCTCTGCAGGGATGGTGTCTCTGCCCATCCTTATGTACCTGTGAAGGTGAATGCCTCCTTCCTGAGACAGTAAACTTCTACTGATATTTTCTTTCCACTCTGCAACATCGTCATCTTCTCGTACCAGGAAAGTGCATGAATTCAAGATCAAGGATCAACATCTCAGGGTCAAAGTCAAGGCTCAACAGTTCAATGACAAAGTTAAGGCTACTGACCCAATATCTTAATGTCATGCTTAGCCCTGGAGAGAAAGGAAGACCACATTCCTCCTTTGCCTGGTCCCTCTGCCAAGGAGTCTATTTCACTCTGACCCAACCTGTTGTCTCCTTGGGATCTGGCCTGCCCCATCTTAATTCTAGTAGGTCCATTTGTGCAATGCTCCTCCCTTCTCCTTAGCACCACCTGGCATCATTTGGTCTGCCATCCCATCAAAGGGCAAGCGTACTTGTCAGTGTGGCTAATGCATGGTCCTAGATCGAGGAACAGAGTCTATCACTAAACTATAGCTGTGAAGCCCAAGTGCCCAGAAGAGGCTATGTCAGGGTTAATTGCCCTCTTCCTTTCTCTGTTTTCCTTAGTGCTGTGATTAGAGCACTGAGTCTGCCATGCCCGGCTAATGGAGGTACTTAGACCTTCCCTGAAAGATGAAACAGGTCCTTCTTGATTTAAAACTCCACGTTAAGAAACCGAGATGACATGATCAGGGATTCAAGAGGGTGAAGCCGTCCAACAAGGATTAACAAAGTATTCTGCCTTCCAGGTGGGGGCGAAGGAATCAGGGCCTGGATGATTCACAAGAGGGTTTCCTGACAAGGCAAAGACCTTTTTGATGATAGCTATCAAATACATAGGCCTTTTCTTTTTCTTTGCAGCCTTACTTTAATTAAGGCCACTGGTTGTTTTCTTCTTTGAAGAGCTAAAAGTGGCCTACTAAAAGTGAAAGACCTTCCTCCCCTATGTCCCCTTTCTCACCCACTGGAGCTTAGAATGACTTCTTAGTGGGTGCAGAGTTGGTTTCCAAATCATTACTAAGATAGTCATGGGTAGTCAGAATTCACCCTGAGAAACCTTTCATGGTCCCAAAGTACTACTTGTGTCCTTTTCTCTTTCTACCTGTTTCTGAAGAAAAAAAATGATATGCTGGGTATTATGGATAATTTCATTAAGCATTCTCAGGAGAAAAATAATGTCCCAGTATTCTAACTGTATAAACAGAAAGACGAATACCCAAGTTCTCACTGGTCGGTGCTCCCGTGATAAGTCTCAAAGTCAGGTTTCATTTTCCAGGTGCCTCAGTGCCTACCTGCTAAGGCAGAGCTGGTCTTGACAACACAGCCCCAAAGCTTAGAGCTTCCCTGAAGACTCCTTGGCATTATTTCACACTTGTGTGCTTTGCTTTACTCATTCTCACATTCTTTCCTTTCCACTCCATTCCCTCCCCAGCTGTCTCCTACCATCTTTATTTCAAATAGCACCCCTCCCTCTTTTCTCTTAGCCCCCCTCCTTTCCCCTTCTCCCGTCCCTCCCTTCCCCTCCTGCTTCAGTTTCCATTTTGTCTTCAACATCTCAGGCATTCCTGCTTCTCCGCTGGACTTCTGGTTTCTTGATTCATCTTGTCCTCCTCTAGTTCTCTTGTCCCTCTCTCGTGGTTTCGCTCTTACGTCACCTCCATATAAGTCAACTCTTTAAGTGCCAAGCCTCTCCAGTCTCTGCCCTGTCTTCTTTCTCTCTCCACCATAATTCCCATGAAAATAGTCATCAGAAGTGACTATTTGTGCTCACAGAGACCAACTTTCCACCTGATAGGTTAGTAATAAACATTCATAGTGTTACAGGTGCATCAGAGTTAAGCTTAGACCTGGATGCAATTGTAAGGAGCAAAGTAAAATACAAACCCCAATGTACTGAATTCTCAGTTGGTATCTCATTTTGTTATTTAACTGTCAGGCATCGTGGTACATGCCTCTACTCCTAGTACTTGGGCACCTGAGGCAGGAGAATGCCCAGTTCAAGGTCAGCCTGGGCTACATAGCAAGACTCCATCTTGACCACAATGGTTTAAAGCCTTAAAACCTACTAAACAAATCCAATGCAGTTTTACTAACAAGGCAGAATTTTGAGCACCATCATTAAAGATTTTAAATATGCCTAAAATGATTTTGCTTCCAAAGGGTTTTTGTGGTTTAATCAGTTCATGTACATTGGAACTAATACTTATTTACATAGATAATGCTACTTCGTTTTATGATGATCTAAGGAAATATGAGCTACTTAAAACATAAAGGCTGTCACGATTTCACTTAGATATTTAAAATACTTATTTTAAGTTATGTGTGTGTGTCTGCATGTGAATATACACGTGAGTGCCAGTGCCCATGGAGGTCAGAAGAAGGTGTTGGATCCACTGGAACTGGAGCTATACGTGGTTGTGAGCTGCGTGGGTGTTGGGAACAAATTTCAGGTCCTCTGCAAGAACAGCACATGCTCTAAGCCACTGAGCCATCTCTCTAGTTCCACATAGACATTTTAATGCCTTAGTGCTGTGATTAGAGCACTGAGTCTGCCATGCCCAGCTAACGGAGGTACTCAGACCTTCCCTGAAAGACGAAACAGGTCCTTCTTGATTTAAAACTCCATGTTAAGAAACTGAGATGACATGATCAGGGATTCAAGAGGGTGAAACCGTCCAACAAGGATTGACAAAGTATTCTGCCTTCCAGGTGGGGGTGAAGGAATCGGGGCCTGGATGATTCACAAGAGAGTTTCCTGACAAGGCAAAGACCTTTCTGATGATAGCCATCAAATACATAGGCCTTTTCTTTTTCTTTGCAACCTTACTTTAATTAAGGCCACTGGTTGTTTTCTTCTTTGAAGAGCTAAAAGTGGCATACTAAAAGTGAAAGACCTTCCTCCCCTATGTCCCCTTTCTCACCCACTGGAGCTTAGAATGACTTCTTAGTGGGTGCAGAGTTGGTTTCCAAATCATTACTAAGATAGTCACAGGCAGTCAGAATTCACCCTGAAAAACCTTTCATAGTCCCAAGGTACTGCTTATGTCCTTTTCTCTTTCTACCTGTTTCTGAAGAAAAAAAATGATATGCAGGGTATTATGGAGAATTTCATTAAGCATTCTCAAGAGAAAAATAATGTCCCAGTATTCTAACTGTATAAACAGAAAGACGAATACCCAAGTTCTCACTGGTCGGTGCTCCCGTGATAAGTCTCAAAGTCAGGTTTCATTTTCCAGGTGCCTCAGTGCCTACCTGCTAAGGCAGAGCTGGTCTTGACAACACAGCCCCAAAGCTTAGAGCTTCCCTGAAGACTCCTTGGCATTATTTCACACTTGTGTCCTTTGCTTTACTCATTCTCACATTCTTTCCTTTCCACTCCATTCCCTCCCCAGCTGTCTCCTACCATCTTTATTTCAAATAGCGCCCCTCCCTCTTTTCTTTTAGCCCCCCCCCCGTTCCCCTTCTCCCATCCCTCCCTTCCCCTCCCGCTTCAGTTTCCATTTTGTCTTCAACATCTCAGGCATTCCTGCTTCTCTGCTGAACTTCTGG